AACAGCATCATAAAGCAAAGCCCAATCAACTATATGTTGGCTGTGGCTTTAATTATTTTGTATAGATTTATTTGTTTTTATATTATATGTGTGAGTCTTTTGGTGGCCCGGCATATACATGTATGTGTGGTATTTCAGGAGGTCAGAAAAAGGCATCTGATCCTGTGGAATTAGAATTACAGATGGTTGTGGTGCCAATGTGGTGCTAGGAGCCAAACCTGGGTCATCTTCAAGCATGATAAATACTCTTAACCACCAAACCTAACAGGTCTTAAACCCAGAAGAAGCCCAGTTTAAATAAAAATGCACATATAAATTAAATGTAAAGGGAAGAGCCAGGCATGGAGACACTTGCCTATAATCCTGACACTCTGGAGGTTGAGGAAAGGGATAAAGACTCTAATGCTACTAGGGAATATAGGATGAAATACTGTCTCACTGTCCTTCCCTAAGGAAGAAAAAGGATGTACAAAGACACACTTCGCCAAGATTAATCAAAAGAAAGTGGGGTTGGGACATTGTTATTTCAGATAAAGCAGACATTAGAGTAAGGAAAGTTACTGGGGCAGGAGGGGTAGGAAGGAACTCCATTAGAGAGGAGTCAGTCCTCCACAAGACATAATAATCTCCAATGTATATACAAAACATCAAGCTATGTTCATCAATAGCTTACAGAACTCCAAAGGGAAACACCATCACAGTAGAAATGGTAGCAACAGGCTGGAAGTCAGCACAGACACAGGTGAGCTCAGCAGGTCACCAATGGCATAGGTAGGCTGTACATTCAACCCCAGTAAATGCACACCATTCACAAATGCGCATGTAGTCTAGACCAAGAGAGACTACGTTCTGGGCCATCACACATACTTGGGAAATGAAACAGAATAAAGGCCTTATGATGTCTTCCTTTAGATTCAATGAGAAACTGGTATCAGGCAGACCACTGTCCCAAGCACTCGAGGGACTGAAGAACACATTGATAACTAGTAACCAATTCTGTGCTGATTGTAGGCTTCACAACTCTTTTGTGAAGCTGAGTAAATGCAATTGTTAAAGGCTACAAGATCCTCTGTGCAGCACAGGACTTACCAGTGAAGCAGGCCAGATTCCAATTTGTCAGACAGCCAACCAATGGACCAGACACCCGCATCATGTGGAAACAGAGGGTGGAGATGCCACTGTTTCTCAAAGCAGGAGCTGGCATGTCTACTAGAAACAGCCTGCTATCTGAGCTCAGAGCCTGTTTGCCACAGAGTAGAGGCAGAGAATTCTCAATTCCAAAGCTCTGAGTGTCCCAGCACACGCTGGCCTCTGCAGAGGAGACTTTTCTCCCTTTGTTCCTTACTACACATGAAGGAAGTGCTGAGTGTGGAGAATCACATCTCTTTTTGCCTTCCAGAAACCAAATGGCCAACAGTATGTTTTGATTAATATCAAGTGAAGGCAGATGGAGAAATACCAGTTCTATTAAAACACGTGCTTTCTTTGGCTCTCACAATCTATTCCCAATGTTATTTTACCCAAACCACTTCAACAAAAAGGCAACATAAAAGTCCATGGTCAATCGCAAGATTGTAATGTTTCCCATTTATCATTATAAAAACAAGGATAACTTTATAACTATTTGCATACAGCTATTACATGGAAGAGAAATTTATATTATCTATAGAAAAATTACTTAAAAACCAGATATTTTTCCTTTTAAGTTTCTTCCTTAGTTGTTTGTAATTAAGAATTTAAGGTGGGCATAAGATCTGAATAGACTCATTCTCAAGAAAACGGACACAGGGCAAATAAGCATAGGAAACAGTTCTAACATCGTTATTAAGGACATAAATTAGAAGAAAAGCTATAAACAATGTTCTGACATCCCTTTTAGAAGGGCCAGGAATCTCAGATACTGACAACACTGGATGATGAGACAGATGAGGCTCAACAGGAATGCTCCTTGCTGCTGTTTGGAACACAAGAAGGAAATGAAAACGTTCACACACAAGAACAGCATCTGTGTTCAAAACTGCCAACAGCCTGAAGCAACTAAGGCGCCTCTTGGGAGCTGAATGGACAAATGATCTGTGTCACATCAAGAAAATGCATACTGTTCACAATTTTAAATGTGAGAGTTTAAATCAGGAGGGCAGCTTGAAGGAAACCCAAATGCCCAGTGTAAAGGGAAAGCTGACAATGTGGAAGGGGCTGTCGGCTCCCTGATGGCAGCTATGTGAGTTCTGAAATCTGCAAACTGACAGAGACGGCAGGAAGATGAGGAGCTACCAGGACTCAGGGTGATCCTCATGCTACTCTAATGTCAGACACACATCATACTTTGTCCACATCCTCTCAAAGTACAAGCCAGAAGTGAGCCCCGGTGTGAACTGGTACAGGCCGAGTGAGCGAGCCCCACTGCTGGTATAAACGGGGGCATGGGATCTAGCTTCACACTGTGCCTCTTCCTGCTGTGATGTTAAAGGTCCTCTCAAAACAGAGTTAAAGTGGATTTACTACTTTCAAACTTATTTAAAGGTTTTAAACAAAAAGGGAAAAATTTTTATTTTTCAAAAGATTTGAGAGAGAGAAATGTTTGATGTGGGCCAGTTTTATCTTCCTCAGCATCTCTGACTTGCTTTTCAGAAGCTCCCACTCTTTGCACACGGCTGTAAGAAATTCCCAGGCGTCCTTTTGAATCACAAACTCAGTTTCCTGACAGGTAGATTCTGGTCTTGACTCTGAACAACTCCACACTGGAACTGTTCCTCATTTTGAAGCCTCGCCTTGCATCCTAATCGCCCATGCCTGTAAGAAACAGCATCTCTAAAGAGAGAAGGCAGTCATGACCATAACTGCAGGCCTCCATATTTATGCGCACACATAAGCATCATACACACACACAGGGCAGGTAAACATACATGGTCTGGTTAGGCTGCCTGGCTGACCAGCTTCAGGGACCTGTCTCTGGGCTCCACTCCAAACACAGGGTTGTAAGCATACACTGCTAGGCCTAACCTTCCGTGTGGATTGTAGAGATAGACATTCTGATCCTGTGTACAGCAGGTGCTTTACCAACTGAGCTATCTCCCTGCACATTACCTCTCCTTTTGTCTATCAGGATAAGGGAGTCTGCTGTGAGGCTGTGTCTCCTGGTAACATCATAAGTTGCACCCATAAAGTCTAATGGACATAAAGTCCCACCCAAATGTGAGCTGAACAAGGATGGCACCAATAGACATGCCAAAGTGAACAGGGAAGGCCCACAAGGACTCAACCCTACATAAAGAACTGCAGGCAACCAAGGGATGCTGAGATCAGGAGAAATAATCTTCCCCAGGGAAGAGCACTCCAAAGAGTTATCCAATAACAAACAGCCAGCTCTGAAAACATACATAAAAGTAACACTATATAGACTAAGCAAGATAAATTTATGTATTAGGGAATATATATATGTATATTTTTTTTCATGTAACAACAATCAATTTAAAAAGTGGCCATGAATTTGAAAGCTAGCAAGAAAGAGTACATGGAAGGATTGGAGGAAGAAAGGGAAGGGAGAAATGGTTATAACTATTGTCTCGAAAAAAATCATTAAAAAGAACTAACATGAATTTTTAAATAATATATAATTAATATACATTAAAATTAGATTAATTACGTATATGACCTGACTTGTGGGAAAGATTTTCTAATTTTTTTAACTTATCTTTATAGCATTTGGTAAAAGTAATAGTTTGTTAACTCTCCTGCCCTAAAAAAGAAAAAAAAAAGGCTTTTGACCAGAATAACAGGATATACAATACAAAAAGTATACACGATGTCCAAATCAGCAGGAGAGAGAATTACACCTCAGAAACAGCACACTAGCTTGGATTTGCCATTGACCCAGAAGCACAGACTGCCAGTCTGCCTCAGTCACAATGAATCTGAAACACTTGTATTTCTCTGCTTGGTTTTCACAAGATGGCAGGCTGGGAGATCGAGGATTTTTAAAAAAATATACTTCAACGTTTCTAATCCCAGAGAGATACTGAATGTCCTGTGAATGCGAGGTCAATGTTGCCTGCACAGTGTGGCTGCAAAAGTCAATGGACCAGGTAAGAAAGCCACAGCCATCTGCAACAAAGCGTCACTTTCTTTAAAACTGTCCGGGAAGGCTGAGGATACAGCTGTGTGGCAGACGGCTTGCCTAGAATGACAAAGCCCTGCATTCAGTACACACACACACACACACACACACACACTCATGTACAGAGCTAACACACAATAGGAATGTAATGTATTTGCAGAAGTGAGTTTTCTAATAGTTGGGTCTAAGCATAGCTTTCCCAGGTTTGACTTTCTTAGGGACCCAACCTAACACATGGAAAGAGAGGTAACTACAGACAGCCGCGCGATGAACGGTCTACGACCCATTACGTCCAACCTGTGTGTACAGTGTGGGCATGGGGTGGGTATCATACATGGGAAGAGTAATGCATTCAGTGAATGACATATTCCCACAAGTACAGGGTCCCAGCTCTCAGAATTAGCCTCTCTCTCGCTCTCTCACTCTCGCTCTCTCTCTCTCTCTCTCAAAGGAAATCTGTTTCTTTGTTGATCTCCACAGCTAACATTTAAAGTGACTCCCAATAGTAGATACAGTGACTTGGGTAGTATTAAAAAGCAAACTAGAGAAGAAACATTTTACTACCACAGGACTTGGGGCTCAGTCTAGATTCTCACTTCACCCAGCACCTACAATGTGTTCTTTGGAACTCAGTTGTCCTAAAGCTCCCCAAAAAAGTGAAGGTCACGCCCTCCTTCCTTACAGTGTTAGATGTCCAATGATAGTCTGGGCCTCCCTGTTCTGGACCCCCCCACAGCCCCGAGTCTGAGCTCATCATGTACCCTTTGGAGTAGGAAATGGAGCATCCCCAGCTGAGTTTTAAGGAAACTCCACTGACCAACACAGACAATCCCTAAGGCCTCCTCAGCCTATTCCAGGAGAGAAGAGCAAGGAGAACAGGTACCCGGCAAATCTCCACTCTGTTCGCAGCCTCCTCCATCTCCTCCCTGAGGGCATCGGCTTTGGCACCCGCAGGCTGAAGGCTGCTGGAAAGCCCTGAAGACTTGGAAGTCTGCTGCCACCTGATGGAAAATAAGAGAGAAAGAGGATACACATGAGACAGGTGGTACTCAGGTGGAGCCCAGGTGGAGTCCAGGTGGAGTCCAGGTGGAGTCCAGGTGGAGTCCAGGTGGAGCCCAGGTGGAGCCCAGGTGGAGCCCAGGTGGAGCCCAGGTGGAGCCCAGGTGGAGTCCAGGTGGAGCTCTGGGGATATGGTGGAGTGCTCAAGAAATACCTGGCCTTGAGTTGTTGGCCAGGAGGACTGAGCAGGAAATACCAATGCCACCCTAGGAGAGAGGCTCACCTTTCCACAGGAGAAATGAGTGAAGCTGAGGATCAGGTGACCCTACTCTACTCATAGGCCAGCAGCCTATGGTTTGCCACTGTGTCCTCTATGACCTTCTACACTCTAAAGCCAAATGACAGTCACCATTGCTGTCCTCTTTTCACTGACAAATGACAACTGTTGACATTTATGGAGCAAAGGGTGACCTGCTGTACACAATGCAGCATGATTAAATCTAACTAACATACCCAGCACCTCTCTCAGAGTTTGCTACAAGATATTTGAAACTTAATCAGGCTCACGATAGTGAACAGTAATGCAGCCCATATTGCAAAATGACCAGCACTGTCTTTCAGTGTGGTCGCTGTCATTCATTTAAGTTCCTCACAGGCTCATGGGTTTGGATGCACCTAAGTGGCTGAAGCCAATAATGGGTGTGAGGGAAAAGGAAGAAAGACTGTCAGTCTTCCCTATCAGGATTAAAGGAAACACTGATAGACCTAAAAGCCAATCTGAAGGTAAAACTCTGCACTAGGAAATCTGGAATTGTATCAGGTCAACATTTAGTAACCACATAGTAATTCCGTAAAAACTCTTCTCTGTAGGGAGAACCCTGGTCTCTTGAGGAAAACACCCAGGAAACATAGATGGAGAAATAAATGCTAACACTTGTGTCTAGTTGCTGGAGTCAACATCAGGGAAAGATAGAACAGAATAGTCCTGCAGGAAGAAAGGGCTCGGCAGGGTTCCTCTTCTGGTGAGTCTGAGATCTCACCCGCTCAGAGGACCCGCAGGTAGAAAAAGGACAGAACCGTCCATTACCATAACTTGCCCGCTGGATCTTTTATCTTCCCCGGGAGAGACAGAGCTATTTCTAGCCTGTGAGAAGCATAGTGAGGCAGTCAGCATGACAAGTGGTAGCTAAGCCTGACTTTAGTCTGGGAAATCAGGAAGATGAAAGGTTGGGGAAATGGGTGGGAAGATGCCTTGCCTCAGACGGACTGGTGGAGCTTACGTGGGAATGTGGTCATGGGTTGTCAGGTGTTTCAACTGACAAGAGAATTGAGAAATCCTCCTGAGAAGTCCCCTGATAAAATGTGACAAGATGAGAGGTTTTCTTTTAAATAGAATATAAGTACAGACCAAACAAGGACCTTCCCCCAACCTCTAGATCATGTCTGCAGTCTGGCAGTTGAGGGGTCCAAATACCAAGACAACCTCCTCCCCTGTACCAGTCTTAAGTCAAAAATCTTATCAGCAGCTAGCTAACTGGTAGTTCTGCTGGGTTTTTCTTGCTCTTCTAATCTGTAGGACAAACATAAGAATGTAGGGGTGATTTAATAGCAGTATTCATGGGGGTATTTAATAGCAGAAAGTCACAAAGTGAAGGATGGAATCTCTCAGCCTTTCAGAATGCAACATGGGAAACCATTGTACAAAGGCTCTCAGACCCTGGGCTGGTTACAGGCTACCGGGAAGATACAAGCCCTGAAAACCATGCTGATTCCAAGGTTAGACAATTTGAAAAAATTTGATTTCTCTAAGCTGAAACAATAAGAGAAGTCAGCAGGAATCCCAAACAACTCTTCCTATAGAGATGTGCTCTACATAAACGACCCAGTTGTGCACTGACTGCAACTATCCAGACCTAGTTAGCTATGTAAATAAAGGCATTAAAGTACTGAGGGACTTGCGTCATATAAAATATGGGACATCATAGTTGTAACTTATATGAGACAGCAAATACACCTACATGTTGATTATAGGATCAAGATAGAGCCACTGTCTGACCAGGCTACTACAGAAGAACTAGCGCTACTACAGAAGAACTAGCTAATGGATGCTTTAAAATGTGTGTGTGTGTGGGGAGGGGGGTGGAGAACTGGCTCAGGGGTTAAGAGGGCTTGCTATGCTATCGGAGGGCTGTCGTTCAGATCTCAATGCTCACATCAGTTTTCTCTCAGTATATTTAGAGCTATTTCATTAAGTTGAAGCAGACAGGATAGAATTACTTAAACACTGACAAACGCACGTGTTCGATACAACTCTCATTAAACACTGAATAAATAAGATGAATCTGACAGATTCACTAGAGTTGTGCTAAAACTCAAAGATCTAGTCATGGCAGTATTGACCAAGATGTGCTGAGTGAGGATAGATAAAAGCGACTTTAAGGAGACTCCATGTGGAAGCACTGGGGTATAGTACAGTTCACGGGCAGCAGACGGGAGGGAAAGACGCCTTGATGGCCAGAAGCAGCTCATCACTGGTGTTAGGACCTAACAAACGTGGCTGACTGGAGAAAGAGTGTGTGTGGTGGTGGTGGGGGGGATGCCTAGAACCAGCTGCCTCAGCAGCGTAGCTTGTGATTCCTGCTATTCAACATCACTCTGGAAGTCGATGTGAATTTCATGGCTGTATCCCGACAGCTGTTCCTCGCTGACTAAGTGTGCAGCTTAAAGGGAAACAGCAGGAAGCAGTGGTTGGGTGGCTGCTTGATGTGGCTGTCAGCAAAGTCCTACAAGGCAGATAAGCCCAGGCTACACACAGCCACTCAGCATCAAGGGACAAGAGCAAGAGCCTTTACTGAGGATGTCCCTTTCACCCTAAAGACCTTCACCTGGAGAATCAGTAACTCGGGGGTTTGGGTCAGTCCTCTCATCAGTTACTAAAGTCGGGTCGTGAAGAAAAGCCAGCTGAGATTGTGAGGAGCCTGAGCTACCTACAATATCTGTCAAGAGACCTTCTATCCCTAACTCACAGTACAAAGTGGAAAACAGAAGGCCACCAATGTGATAAAGGAGACAAATTGCATTTATAAGAGGAGGAGGATTTTGGTTTTGTTTCACCTTGCTTTGTTTTTGTCTAAAATACAAAGGTGCCAAAGGGTTTATTTGCTGTGGTTTTGAAGGTAAAAGGCTCTCTACAGACTTGTGTGCTTTTACAGTTGGTCACCAGCTGGTGGCGCTGTTTTAGGAGGTTGTGGAAGCCTCTGGCCATGGGGTCAAGCTGGCAAAAATGTGACTGTAAAGGCTAGAATAGAAGTTTATAGCCTGGCCTTCCCTCTAGCCGAGCTTTGCTTCCTGACTAGTAGGTGACATGCCCAGCCCCCTCAAACTCTCTGCCAACTGTTGCAGTCACCGCACCTTCCCCACCATGACAGACTGCATTCCCTGAACTGTGAACCAAAATACTCTCCCGCTTAAGAGCTTTCGGGCAAATGTCCCCTGACAATGCATGAAAAAAACCCGACTCATACAGGGTCCAAGCTGAAGTCTGTAAGCACAGACATTGGAAAGGGGAGACACAAATTTCCTTAGCAGATTCGAATATGGAACATGTATATTCAAATACATAAAATGAGCTGAAGAATGAAACTGTGATCATGGGTGAGAGGCCCTACTGACACTTCCTCAGCCTTTCAGAATGTATGCGTTGCTTAAATGCACTAAACAAGACCAGCATGGCCATGACTCGGTGGTTACTCCCTTTCTCATCAAAAGATTAAACAAACATATGTGAGAAGGCAGCGACCGCTTCCACACTAACATTCAACCATACTCAGGAAGTCTGCGTTATCCTTGAAGAAGCAAAGAAGACCTCGGGGTGAATACCCAGGTTTTTAAAGAAGGAAACAAAACCCCCAACCCCGGGGGGGGGGGGGGACGTGGTGTCTAACTCACCACAGCAAAGAGCAGTCAGCACTACTCCAGTCAACTTACATGACTCTCGTCTGACTGCTGAACACTTGTGTCATGGGATGGCATTTTCTGCAGTATAGGGACTCGGTGATAAGACCCCTCAACCCCAAACTCCTCCTGCATCCTGCTCTCTTCCTGAGTGCTCGGCATGGAGGTATCCCGAGAGTCGTATCTGGATTATGTCACAGCTCCTTTGTATTAGTTACTTTTGGTTGCTTGATAAAATATCACCAAAAGTGACTAATGGAAGACAGTGTCTGTTTTGGCTTACAGTTCCTGAGGGAGAATCCATAATGGCAGGGGAGGCACAGAACTGAGCAGTAAGCTGAGAAGCCACGGCTCCAGCCACATGTGGAAAGCAGAGAAAGCAAAACCAGATGTGGGAAGAGACTGGAAGGTCTAAGCCCACCCTCAGTGATGTACTTTCCCCACCCAGGCTCCATCTCCCGAAGGTTCCATTACCTCCCTAAACAGTGCCACCAACCGAAGACCATTCAAATACCTGACTGTATGGGGGACATGTCTCACTGCAACCACTACTGCCTCTCATGAAGGCAGGTGGGTTTTACAGCCTTCCACAGCCAACAGGAGACAAATGTCAACAATACTGAATTTGTTACCAGCCATTTGCTTTTGGGTTCATCTGATTATCTGTAGCAAAGGGCATTTGCTTCCAACTTATAGTCATGCTGTGAAATTTCTTTCTAAAATGTATTTTGAAGAAGTCATTTATGGGGACGGAGGATTGGTATATATCAACTAAAGTAACTTCTCTGCTGAGGTAACCCATGCTGTTTTGATCAGGGGTGACTATATGCACCTTCTATCCTTCCAGCTATAGAAGCCCCACCCCCAAGTCCCTGGTATAACAACATTTTATAGCATGGGCTTTATGTTGAAAAGCACTTGGGATGAGCAGGAGCACTCATTACTTTCCTTGATGTTCTTAATACCTCTGCAGATGACAATGGCTATTACTCCCTGTGCAGAGGTGAGGAAATACACTCAAGGCCAAGGTCTACATAAGAACATGCCTGGATCTTGTTTCCTGACTTATGAACCCTACTGCAGGCTCTTAATCCTAAATCTCTCTACCCAAGAGTTTTCTGGTTTTGCATGTTTCATAAAAGTAAAATAAGATGAAGTGATTCAGACTGAATTACAAAGGACTTACGGTAGAAACAGTTCCTTCTAGACTAGCATTTGTAAACTTTTATTCTTTTAACTTAGATTTGTGTGCACACATGCACAGAGATAGAGAGGGAGAGGGAGAAGGAGAGGGAGAAACAGAGAAGGCAAGTATGTACCACGTCCACATATAATAGCCACAGTCAACATCAGGGCCACTGGTATTGATCTTCTGAAACTACAGGAAATTTGTAGTCTCTGAGTAGCAGGTACAGAATGGCCTTGGAGAAGCCTCACAGAAGGGCTATCACAAGGACCCTTGGTCTACAGCATCCACTTCAGCAGCTGACACATGTCCAGAGTGAGCAATGTGTACATACATCTCCTTGATGCACACATAACATCTCTGTCCTGCCTCTTGGTTCTCATGCCCACACCCCCCAAGTCATGCATCTTCTTCCTGTACCACAAACACACCGTCACAGACCCTGTGCACCGATCCCTCTGTTTAGACAGTTTCTCCCACTTCTTCTGTCTCCTTCTGGTTGTACAGACTCCGACCAGGAAACACCTACTCAAAAAAGCACTCTTCTGTTTCCCCATCTGATGCTGGTGCCTCTTCCTCCACCTTTCCTTTCCAAAAATAGCCAGTGTGCTTTTTTTTTGTCTTCAATGTATGGCTGCCTAAAATTGTCCTCTTGCCCAGATCTACCTTCAAACTGTAGCCTCCAGGCGAGCAGGGAACCCATGTTTCTGGCCACTGCTGTTACCTCCAGTGCCTGGTACACAGGAGGTATAAAGAAAAACTTAATGAATGAGAACTATGCCCACACACACACAAACCCGCTTCCACACCCAAACATCATGAACCTGCCTATGAGGCTGAGAAGGAAGAGAAGAAACTCTACCTGGTCCGGGAAGAATCCATGTCAAGCACCAGCTTTGCTAAGTGTTTCCTTTGCTTCTGAATATTTGGAATCTCCACCTGAAGTTCCAGAAGAGAAGAGACACACAGTCAAGCCCAAAGGTCAAGGTTAATATTTGAAGAGCGAGGCTCTCAGAGAATACTTGAAGAATTACTGACAGTTACCTGAAGGTTTGCTACAAGTCTCCTGGTCCTTGTTTCCAGAGCAAAATCTTTTCCCATTTGTCACTGTCTTGAGTCCATTTGTCCACAAATAGGAATAATGTTTCACGTTTATAACCTGACGTCAAGCTCCTGGATTTATCATCTAGTGTAACCACTGCTTTCCTCCCTCCCTCACCAGTGTGTGTGTGTGTGTGTGTGTGTGTGTGAAAATCTGCCTGAGAGTTGTCACCCACATTTCAAGGACACAGTATGGTGTAGTCACCCCAAGCTGCCCACTGAATTTCTAGAACATACTTATCTTGCCTACATATTATTCCCTTAACCAGTAGCAGATGAAATTCTCAATTCTTTCCCTGAGCTACACCTGTTCTTTCTTCCCTGAATATCCAGCAGGTCCCTCGTCAGCTGGGGCCATTTCTGGGTTCTGTGTATCTCTGCTTGCCTAAGGAAGGCAACACTCCTGCTCTTAGCCAAACCAGAAACAAACAAATAACAAACAAAACAAAAAAAAAAAACAACAACAGCAAAACAGAGCCAATGGCTTCTGTGTCTATTTCCATAAGGGCCAAAAGCAGGAGAAAGGAAGGGCACACTACCATTTAAATGCTGGCAGATCTAACTCAAATGATCAGCTGAGCTCAGAGAAACCATGGCCTTAGCAGACCCGAGATGCTAAGGGTATGCTAAGGGATGCCACTAGGACACACAGTTTATATTTATGGAAACAAAGAAGCCATGCTAGCATATTTATAGAAATAAAGCAAGATTTCCCACAGTCAGCAGTGAACAACTCGGCCTCTGTGGAGTTCTCCGCAAGGGCTTCTTCCATATTGGTTGTATGTGGATGCTCTTTTTATATTTTTCTTTCTAAAAACAACTTCCTTAAAGACTCCAGTGCAGGGTTTTGGTTCTGGGCCCAGCAAAAGTAGGGCAGGATGGGAGAATTAAAAAGGAAAATTGGCTATGAGTTGAACTGAAATCATCTTGGAGGTTTTTTTTTTTTTTTTTTTTTCCTTTCACACCGGGAAAACCGTGAGAAACCCCTAGTGCTCTGTGAGGGACTTTCTGCCCGCTCAGCTAATCTTGGCTGAGGGATGCACGGAGGGGATACCTCCAACAGTAAGAAGCATCATCAGAGTGCACAGAGCCCAGGGCAGGGCTGGGAGTCAGAGTGTGGCTCAAGTCTCAGCAAGGGGCCTGGGTTCCCTGCTGAGTCTTGTGTCCCCGGCTGCTCCCCACCACACCTCCACACACTTTTGGAATTGTTTCAGGCTCTGGCCATAGATGTATGAGGAGCAGGTGCCTCTCATGAGTGTTCCCCGCCAGGGGCAGATGGGAATGAGGTCAGTGGTTAATTGATTCCATCCACAGTGTGTGATCCAAGGGCTTACAGCTGCTCTGTGCTGAGCCGTCAAAGGGCCATGTCAATTTATTCTTCGATCTCCTTTAGGTGCATAAGTAATTATTTATTTATACCTCTGTCTCAGAATACAGAGAGATAAAGACACGCTGAAGGTGATCTAGAGATGAAACCAGATATGAACTGGGCAATATTACAAAGCTTCTAAACCTTCTAGTCGTGAAAGATGATGTCATTTTAAATTTAAATGGGCAGAAGATAACTAGAATTAAATCTGAGTCTCTCGAGTTGCCCCAATAACCACATTCCATGTGTGTCATGGCTGAAGAAGTCTAGGGGCTAGCTTACAGCACAGGGACAGTCAGTTCCATCTCCCACACAGAACAACTGTTAGGTTTTGTATGGCAAGTGAAACACAACTGAGAGGTTCAGAAACATCCCAGCACAGCTTGTCTCACTGGATAATGCTGTGCCAGGTGGGAATTAGGGAAACTGCCACAAAGACGTTAAGATAGCTTTTTAATAGAATAGTTTAATTTAGTCTTGTGTAAAATCCAGGAAGAAAAGGACATCAAGCAAAGAGGCCTGAAGATGCTCTTGCACCAGCTCCCCGGACTCCTCAGGAGAGAGCTGCCACTCATGCTACTAGTTGCTGAAGACTGGAGATGGGCAGGGACGGGGGGCTGGGAGGGGCCAGGGTGATGGGCTGAGACTTGGGTTAGAGATAGAGGTGAGTCTGCCTGGCTTTGTATGTTTATCCGTTCGAAGGTGAACAGGGAAGACAGTGGGGGAGGGAAGGAAGCTGAAAGCTCCTCCACCATACTTGGAAATCTCGACCACGGTGTGGTCATGATGCATCCTGATGGATGACAAGGTCAGTGACTGGGGAGAAGGAAGGAAACAGTGGAAGGCTGGATGTGGAAGGAATGTCACTGTCCCAGGCTGAGCCTCACTCCGTGTCTCACCTCAGCTAGCAGGAACAGGGGCTCGATCACATCCCTCTCCACTTGCAGCTCAAAGTGGATCAGCTCCTGAGCTAGCTTGTCTTCCGTCTCTCCACAGAGCTTCAGCATCTTCCTGCAAGCAAGGGGGTAAGGCATCCTGAATATCCTGGACCATCACATTAGGCGGAGTCACACTCCATCATTCTTGGCTTGATAAATGCCCCCAAGTCAGTGTCATTAAACTGGCCATTTTCCATGGCTACCAGTGACCAATCCCATTGTCTCCATGTCTGAAGTTATCACCTACTCCAAACAGTGCTGAGTGCCAGGGACAACGAGATACATGGGAACTATGAGAAATGGGGTGGGGGTGGGGACGGGGGGGGGGGAATAGGAACGCCCAAGCCCAGTCCTCCAGCATTGGGACTCAATTGCTTCCTCTCTTCACTGGGATCACCGGAGAGAGCAGGTAAGATGGGTTCTCTATCACACGACACTTTTAAGCAAATACCTAAAACTCAATTCCGACAGGACCTCACTTGGAGAAAACACTCCTAGGCTGTGGAAACTTACTTAGTATGCAATGAATATTTAGTGTGTATATGGAAAAAAGCCAGAAAGTCACCCTACAAATAGCCCGATACTGACCAAATGGCAGACAACATAACCAAGAGAAAGTCAGTCCATTTTCTGAGAAAAGAGACTATTTCAAAGATGTTAGTTTCTCCCAAATGGCTGTCTTCTTTACACAGTACGATGGTCACTGAAACTCAGGTACATTTTAAATGTCAACAAAAGAATAAGCAGACAATTTATTCTCAGCTGACAGAATGTCTTCTCTGTTCTAATATGCTTGCACATAACATGATGCTACCACCTGGCTAAAAATGTTTCCACCATTGGTTTTTTTTGTTTTTTTTTTTTTGTTTTTTTTTTTTGTTTTTCGAGACAGGGTTTCTCTGTGTAGCCCTGGCTGTCCTGGAACTCACTCTGTAGACCAGGCTGGCCTCGAACTCAGAAATCCGCCTGCCTCTGCCTCCCAAGTGCTGGGATTAAAGGTGTGCGCCACCAACGCCATTGGTTTTATATTGACCTTATCTTGCACAAATGGCTCTTCTCTCAGTGCAGGGACTAGACCCAGGGGCTTACACACACCCAGCAAGAATGCTACTACTGAGCGTCCTCAGCTCGACCTGCATTGATTTTTAGGGCTTGTTCCTATTTGCTTATGGAGAATTCATCACTTTGTTATGTAGAGTCCCTTTTTATGAACGTGTCTATCTCCACATTAAGCTTCTCCATGATCAAAAGAGCTTAGTGACCGCATATGCACCGCTGTGGTATGCATGTATGTATGTATGTATGTATGTATGTATATATCACATCCACATACATACACATGCATACCCAGCCTCTTTTTGATGTTTAAGGGTTTCCACTGCTCTATGCTCTGATGACTCTCCGCATGGACATACTGATCCCTATCAAATTGGTGAGTCTGTATGCCATCTCTCTCAGGCTCCCAAGACCCATGGTCCATGAAATATTCCTCACATCCTTGGCTACTTCTGAACTGGGATCTAGTTATCTGGATTTATTTGAAGTTATTTATACACTCATGCATCTGGAGGGAGATGGAAAATGGGCTCTAATTCTCTACCTATCCTTTACTGTAAATGTCAACTTCCAGCTTGTGGTTTTAGCTTTGCACCTTTGTCAGGGTGCTTTCAACCTAACTGTATGACTTTCCTTCATATTCCTCCTGCTACTTCTTAGTTTGTAAAATGTTAAGCATTAGTTATTGACCCTCCTAACTATATAAACTGATAATTTAATTTGTGTTCACATTTCCTCATACTCTGTTTATTTAAATTATGTATATTTTACTATGTATTACAGGAAGTCCATTCCCATCCAAAAATCCAAACTTTAAATTTTTTATTATTATATTATTTAAATTATTATTTTATGTCTATGGGTGTTTCCCTTCTTCTGTTCATGACATATGTGCAGTGCCTGTGGAGGCCAGAAGAGGGCATCAGATTCTCTGGAACAAGAGTTACAGAGCGTTGTAAACGGCCATGTAGACGCTGGGACTTAAGTTTGGATCCTCTGGGAGAATAGTCAGTGCTCTTAACCACTGAATCATCTCTACAGTCTTCTCAAACCCAAGCTTTTAAAAGTTGGAGTCTTTGAAACATTTTAGATTTAAGGCGTGTGTCTGTGTGTGTGTGTCTGTGTGTGTGTGTGTCTGTGTGTGTGTGTGTGTGTCTGTGTGTATGTATGCATGTATGTATGTATTAAAGACACTTACCTGGTAAAAACTATGTAATTATTCTAAAACTATGAAAAGCCCAAATTGTACAAACTATCAAGCATTTAAGAGAAGGGCTTACTCCACCTGCAGTGGAGTCAAGCTGCACCGTTAGTATGTTCTGAGCACTGGGCTCTGCACTCAGGCTTGCTTGCTGTGTGCTTGACTGAGCCCCAAACACTGGCCACTCTTCCAATTGGTTCAGGATCTCACCTTCTTGACTTCACCTTCCCCAGACATATGCATTTCTAGACTTTGCCATGGCCACCTCGTGTCGTTCACCCAGCATCTACCTCTTTTGTTCACCCTCCTCAGGAAGTGAAGTCACATTTTAGGGCCACAGTCCTCAGATCCCTCCCTATGCTTCCATGGACTGGGCCCTGGGTCCAGCATTGAGCAGTGCCTCTTTCTGTTTACAAGGCTGTTTTAACTTGCTAGCTTCCTTTGTTGCTTTTGGTGGACCGGGAGGCATTGCGATTCTGGTTGTTCTCTGTGGTAGCACCATGCTGATGTCCAGAAGCTTGTGCAGTGTCCGGCCACTACTGTTCAGGATCACAAACCTTGAGCTCTGGTTAACGTTTTTTTCCACTCTTGTAGGTGCTCAGCAGGCCCTTCCTGTTAGGAACTCAAGTTCTTCCATCTGAAAAATGTTTTCAGATTATTTTTTTATTATCATTATAATTTCTTCCTCTCTCTCTTAAAACTCCTGCTATTTCAGCATGACTTCTGGAACCACTCCCCGACTTCTCCGAGTTTGTCTATGTGCCATGTCTTTGTCTTCATGCTTCATTTTCTGGATGATTTCTCCTAAATCATCTTCGACTGAGAATTTCGCATCTGCAGTCATTTGTTTTCATTTCTTTCAATTTGCTTTTGGTTTCTGAGTGTTCCTGCCGCATAAACATCTCATACCAATGTCCTTTTGATTTCATGGCTGCACTGCCTGCCCTACCATTTGAAAACATACCCAGTGGCACACCGGAAACCTTCCCTTCCCACCCCAACTCCAGTTCTTTCAAATCATATGTCTCTCCTGGATTGACTGAGATTGGACTTTCCTCAGACGCTTGAGGAAATTGTGGGCCTTCTTCTATTTAAGGGTGGGGATGGCAAGCTTGGAGCTTGAGAGGTGGGTGAGGCAGCTGAGAAAAATGTCACCTGAATGGTCAGGGTAAGGCATGGGCACACTCTCTCTAACATCCTCACAGCCTGAGGTCCTTCCTCAGACCCTCACAGGTTCTCCAGGAAAGATACTTCTTTCTACTTTCTTTCCAGGAGGAGAAAAGCCTGGAAGCATGGGGGTGAGAAGTGTCACACCTGTTGTGCCCAGGAACTCCAGATCTTCCTCTCTAGTGGCTGGCACTGCTTTACCTTGCTGTGCCCAGAGTTCAATATTTCAAAAGTGTTTCTGTTCCTCCCCCATGGAGAGCAGTACTGGGGGTGGATGAGGAGAGAAATCTCCTGCAGATGTGAACAGTGCAAGCTTCAGATTCCCTGGATACCTGAAAGCTTAAAATTCCCATTCATTACTTTAATAACCCATTCCCCTCACAGCAGAGACCCTGGTGCTGTCATTCTGAGCATGAGAGAATTCCTTGCAGTATTGAATGCTGCTGTGTGCGTGTGGGAGTGGGGGTATTGTACTCATATGTGCCCAATACATTCCTTACTTGATACTGTTGTCTTTACAATGCGGAGGATCAAGCCAGAGGCTTCACGTACAGTAGGCAAGCGTGCCACACTGAGCTGCATCCAGCCTGTTCTTGGTATCCCTATGGCTGAAAGCTCACAAAATCCCGACACTGGTATCTTTCTCTTTTCTCTGGCCACCATTGTGGGCTTATATGGCTAGGGAAAACAAAAATGTCTGTACTCTAACTTTAGTGGATCCTGGAAAGGAGCAAGATCAACGGGTAGCCAGCCTGCCTTTCTATAAACCCTGTGGTGACACTGTGGTTCAATCCATGTGTACAGAGTTCATGTATTTATACCTATGATGATCTAGATTTTAAACAGTCTGTTCCATTTGCATCTGTGATGACTGGGAACACACGTGGTAAATGCCATCACTGTCTCCGTTACTGACTGTTATTGCTTTGATAGAATACCTGACATGAAGCAACTTAATGGAGGACAATTTCTTCTGACTTAGGGTTGTAAAGAATGCAGTCCATTGTGGCGAGCCTCTGACAGCTCTCCAGCAGAAACAGCACAGGGAGCTGCTTGATCATATCTCAGCACAACTAGGGGACAGAGACCAGACAAGAATGGGGCCAGCTATAATCCTCAAGGCCCATCCAAGAAAACACCTCTTCCTTTAGCTAGGCCCTACTCCCAAAGGTTTACAAGCCAGCAGCCACCAGCTGGAGACCAAATGTTCAAACACATGAGCCTGTGCAGGACATTTCCCATCCAAATCCCAGTGCCTTCACCGATATTTCTTGTCTCCTCTGTAGATAGGTTTTGCTTTCAGTCCCTTGTGTCTTTCTCCTTCTATTGGTCTCTTTCTCTCTTCCTACTACTTTGGAAGATAGACATGATCATTCTATCCCTGTCCCTGTGTGCACTGGGACTTCACGGTTGTCCCCTTGAAGACATCTTACAGTCTTAAACTGTGGCCCAGACAGGTCTGGAACTCACTAGGTAGCTCAGACTGTCCTCTAACTTGTATCAATCCTCCTGCCTCAGCCTGTTGACTACTGAGATTATATGTGTGAGCCACCACACCAGGTTTCCTACTCTCTTTGCTTAACACACACACACACACACAGAGAGAGAGAGAGAGAGAGAGAGAGAGAGAGAGAGAGAGAGAGAGAAAGAGAGAGAGAGAGATACAGAGAGAGAGACAGACAAAGAGACAGAGACAGACAAAGAGAGGCAGAGAGAGGCAGAGAGAGAGAGAGTAAATTTAAAGATAATATATCCTATATATCCTACTTGACTTTTAAATACCTCAAGATCTGAGAACACCACTCCCTCCCCAGTGTCTCCTGTTGATACTGTCTAATGTTTCAGTTTTACCAGACTTATTACCCACCAGATTTATACTCTTACACTGTTGGTTTGTTAATTTAATGATTGTATTTTATTTGCACTGAAGGACAGTAGAGTAAGCCACCCAAATCATGCCCCTTTGGCATAAGGATTATTTTGAGGTAAAGGCAAATAGAAAAAAAAATCAAAATTGTGATCTTTTTCCCACACCACCTAAATGCAAGAAATAGGTTTACAAACATGTCCGTCCTCCCTTCTACCTGGAAGAACAGATATTAATCACCAGGTACCTCCAGATCCCAAGACAGAGCCACAGGAACCCACGTTGTAATTTTTGCCAACTCGTCCTGCCTTCTGTTGCCTCCCTGCAGCTTCCCCTTCCCACAATCTGCCACTTAAGGAACTCCTCTCCCTTTGTCTTCTCATTGCTTCTCGTTTGTCACCATGCCACACACGCCCACGTTCTACCCCTCCCCTGCCCCGGTTACTCATCGCCTAACTACCCCATGTGCATGCCTTACCCATGGTGGGAAAAGTGTCTGCTCTCCTCCTGGCGAGCTGTCAGCTGTTAATCTTATTTGCAGGGCCCTGGCCCAGGGGCCTAGGAAGGCAAGAGGGAAAATAACTTCTTCCTCCCATACCACACAGTGACTTCAAGTTCTCTGTTCCGCTCACCTCAGAGTTTTCCTCTGGACACAGTCCATTCCATGAAACTTCAGTCTACTCAATATGCAAACTGTACCTTCAAATTCACTCTGCAAGGACTAATTCTATGCCTGAACATTCTGTATTTCCCCTTTATTCTTAGATAATGACTTCATTTAGCATAAATGTCCAGTTTTCTTGAATTCTTACTCAGTACCTGAACACATCCTCGACCACTCTCTGGCATTCATTTAGCTCAGGAGTGGTATGTTATCACTTAACACTCTATTGGAGGTGATCATCTTTATCCTTTGGCTGACTTTAAATCACAAATATCTTTCTATGGTTTAGAGAACTTTTTATACTCCTTTATTTTAGAGACATTTTTGTCTTCCTACCTACAGTTGAAAATCTTCAGCTCCAAACTTTCCCCTCTCTGCTTTCTTCCTCGGTGTTCCGTCTAGGTAGATGGCGCAGCTGCGCAGTTCCCAGTGCCTCCTGGTCAGGCTCATGGCTTCTTCGGCTCCTACCTCACTGTGTTGCTTCCATGTTTGTCAGCTCTCCGTTGGTGTACAACCTCAACTCTAGCTCACTTAAGTTCTATCAGCAGCTAACTTTCCATTTTAAAGAGTTCTGGGTTTTGTATATTCAGCTCTGCCCGTGCGATTCAATTTTCCTTTGTCATGGATTTTGCTTTTGACTCATTACACACTTTGTCCCCAGTTTATTATTTTGCACTTTCTTATGCGTTGTTCTGTTATTCTTGCTTCATACAGCGCTGAACTGGCTGCTGAGTGGAGGACAATCTGGTGACTTCACCTCCAAAGGAGCTTGTCTTGTCTTGCTGGGAACAACATACGTTCAGACATCCAATGGCTGTCATCCATCGGCTCCACTTGAGCCTGGGGATCTCTCTGTCCTTCACCACCCCTTCGTCATGGTGACTTACCTCATGGCACAAACAATAGCACTTTGGCTAGGGGGTTGATTTTTCCTGGTAATAACTCCTTCTGCACCCAGAATTAGATTACTCTGGTAAAAGGATTCGTATCAGCTCAGCAGCCCCAAGTCCAAGTTCCCAGCATGAGGGAGATTAAGTTACCCAAGAGGGACAAAGGGTAGGCAATAAGAGACAGAGACAGGACACAGAGGATGAGGGAGAAAGGGGAGGAGAGAATGCAGAGGACATACAGATATTGTCCCTGGGACAGAGATACAGAAGAGACAGATGTGGCCCTTAGGAAAATAGTGGTTTATAAAGGCAAAGGGGAAAACCCATAAAGAATGAGGTGTCTAATTCTAACAGGGCTTATTAATTAGGTTAATTAGCCAAAGGGGGCTTTTGATTGCTAGACTTCAATACTCTGATAGCTGGACCTTGGTAGTCACCTACAGAAGGAAGAAGTAAGCAAGGAAGGGATAGATGTTCATAGCTAGCTTGAGGAACGCAATCTAATGGATTTTAGCAAAGCAGACAGAGTGAAGAGTAGGGCAAGGCCTGCCAGAGGCATGTTTGTAAGCTGACTAGACTCCCTTCACCTGGTGCTCCACGAGGTGTCTTAGACCCTCATTGCAGACAGGAGCTTACCTAGATTTAATACAAACACACACAGGGCATCACCTTACCCGAGAAGCGTGTCATCTCCCAGGATCGCAGAACCCTCCACCAAGCACTGAGCCAGTGTTGTCAACGGCAACTTTTTCTGGAAAAGAAAAAAATACCACATTGAAAGTCTTCCATCCGTGTCCTCTGAAGTCACAAAGTCAAATACTGAAAAAGACAGTTTACTAAAATAGCTATGGAACAAGCTAACATCAAAACACGTTTGATCCTGAAGTGCTCATAAGGGTTAGACATAAGAGATAACACAAATTGGAAACTCGGTAAACAATGTGCTGCTTCGGAGAACGAGCCCACCCTCTACATTTTAAAGGTGACGTGGGATAGCAAAAAGGGGGAAACAGACTATTTCAAAACCGTGTCAGTGAAGGTTTGAGCAATGCACTCACTTCCCCCGATACACAGTTATTTCCTTGATGAGTCTACCCACCCCATTTTATAAACAAAACAGCATATACTCAACACAGGAAAAGTGTTCACATAGGATTGCAGTGCACATCAAAGGCCAGCAAGCTCATGCAAAGGTGCTCCAGCTCATTAGTGACTCAGGAGACCCAGTCAGTTATCCAAACAAGGAGCCCTCCCTCACCCACACCCACTTGGGCAGCTCTATTTAACATTTATTTAAGTAGAAGATGAACATTAGTTTAGCATGTGTAGAAGGGCATTCTCATATTTTTGGTTGTGAGCCTAGCCTCTAATAGTTGAGCCATCTCTCCAGCCCTCATAGAGCATTCTCATTAGAAATTTCAAACAGTCCCTCACTGTGGCAAAGTTCAGTAGCAGCATACAGACTAACCAAAGCTGCTGGTCCGCTCCTGGGATGCCCACATGCCCCTAAGAGGTGCAAACAAGTATCAGAACAAAAACATGATCACCAGTGTGACTAGAAGCCTCTATGTGACAACCAGAGGGTAGAAACAATTCAAGTATCCATGGGCTAAGAGAATGTTGCCTATCCCTGTGAAAAACCATCCCTTGGCCTTCACCAGACACCACCACGGTGCCTGGATTCTCGTGTACTCTTCTACTAAAAGTCTAACCATATCTTATCTCACTCTTGGACATGCATGTTCATTTTTACTCTCTATTTTCCTCACAAACATCAGTATACGCTTTAATTGAATGTAAAACGTTCCCTCACAGGATAGACAAATATCCCCTGAAATCATAAGCCACAATAATCTCCCCCCTCCCACCCCACTTAGGTAGCTTTTGTAAGCAACACGTCACTCTTCTCTCTGAGTCTTGTCCTCCTTCATATGTAGAGGTATCTTTCATAGCATTTTCTATTATTTTTTTTTAAAGATTTATTTATTTATTTTATTTATGAGTACACTGTCGCTGTCTTCGGACACACCAGAATAGGGCATCCAATCTCATTATAGATGGTTGTAAGCCACCATGTGGTTGCTGGGATTTGAACTCAGGACCTCTTGAAGAGCAGTCAGTGCTCTTAACCGCTGAGCCATCTCTCCAGCCCGCATTTTCTATTATTATATCGACAGCTGTCTTCTTTGTTTCTAAAATGAAGAGAGATGGAGAGACATGGAGGTGAATCTGAGGGCTTGGATTCCAAGATCAGGAAAGGCGTGGGAGTGGGTAACAAAAAGAAAAGTGATGTTTTTATTTATGTAGATGCTTTAGCAGTCAAGAAATCAGAAGGAAGACATCAGGGGTAAAGAAAACAGTAAATGAGGCGGCATCTTCAAGCCAAGGGAGATAGGGCAGCCCATCGTCAAAGGCAGCAGATGGGATGGAGGCTAACATGGCTGTATCCCCTACAGGCTACAACTCACTTCTACTTCTAAAGGAATTCCCTGAAGCCAGGATAAGGGCTCCAAAGCAACAGGTTCCAGAGCTACCTCATAGCTACGAACTGCACATCACCCAGGTTTTGTCTGCTTTCTCCCACCATCTGCCAAACTCCTCCCTCTTCATATGAAAGGACACTCAGCTGCTAAATACATTTCGCTCTGTTGACAAGGATCCACGTTGATCCTGATCCTTGTTGAATGAATGAATTCTGTAGCAGGCTTCACGCTACCCCCTGTTTTTTGAGGTTGAAGATAAGCTCTTAAAATTAACTTGTCCCCAGCTCTTGAGTTCAGGTAAAAAGTTAAGAATAAGACATGAAAAGACAGAGTGTCCTCAGGTTCAGATGCATCTATCTGTCATATCTGAAATGACTGTTCTTTCTAAAATTATCCTGGGCTTAAGAGGCATGGGTTGTAAGATGACTCAGACATAAAATCTCCTATACTCTGTTCCCCACGCATATCTGTATTTGTGTTCTCTTGTGTGACTCTGAAAACTACTTCCTACTGTCCTCTAATTCTCAAGTTCTCAGTCCTAGAAATCAGCCTGTGTGATTTAGTCCCCTAAAGGCCAAGGCTTCTTGCTCAGATCATACTAGTTTTCCATGGGCATCTGAGGCTAGCCCAGGGCCTTGCTAACAGCCACAGGTTGAAACGCCTTAGTACTTGCACAAATTAAGCCCAGTACAGTCATTTACAAATACTACCTCATTAAACTCACAATCATCACCACAGGGTAAGAAATCACTGCTATCACCACTTTCCAAACGAACCAGCTAAGGCTTGTGAAGTCATTCATTCTCATATGGCTCACTTCACTGGAGACTCCAGGCTGGACCTCAGAGCCCTCTCACTAAACTGCCTGTTATTTTAAATTGGTAGGCTAGTGTGTCAGGCAGATCCTGTGCCTCAAATACTCATGGACTGTCTGTTCCTGACATTGGTCTATTTTTATCACCGCCTACCATGTGGCGGGCCCTGTTTTAGGCACTGAGAACACAGCTGGTGAGGAGCAGACCCCTGTTCCCATGGAGCTTGGTTACCAGTGACAGAGACCAGTGATCGTAGGGCTTCAGGCACTGTGAAGAAAACAAGGTGGGGTGATGGGCTGTGGGAGAGGTAGGAGATAGTGTCCTGGGTGCATCTTTGATGATAAGATGGAGTCTGAGAAGAGCAATGAATAAAAGTTACTGGCCTGAAATACTCCGGAAGAACTGCACACAGGGGTCAGAGCAAATCCAAAGGCTCTGAGGGAATGCAGCCCTCTGAAACATATCACTGCAGCTGGAGAAGGACACAAAGACGGGAGTAAAAGCTGAGCTCAAAAGCACAGATGGAAGGCTCAGTGAGGAGTCCAGACTCCTCTGCTCCACAAAGGATGGGAGTCCTTTGGTGGGACTCAGCAGGGACAGTGGCCTCATCTGGTACCCATGTTAACTACCTGCTTGGGAGGCAGCAGATGATGAAATATGAAGGGAGGGGAGACTGATGAGAACCACCATCAGATGACAACCATAGGGACCAAGACGGGGTGAGGGTGTGCACCAAAGCAAAATGGAAATTCATAGAAAAGAGGTAGCAGAGCTTCTGGCAAGCTTGGCTGGAGGTTAAGAGGAGAGGGTAGCATGCTTGGCTGGGGGTTCTGGAAAGGGAAGAATCTGGATGGAGGTTGGAGCCAGTGGGTAGAACTTTGCTAAATCCTCCTAAGAGAGCTTCCAGTGTTACAGGTCCTGGGTTCCTGACTCAAAGGTCATTAGTCTTCTCAGCTCCCATTTCCCCCTGGGTGGTCTCAGCTCCAGAGTCCGTGGCCACTCAGGTCCCCCTCTTCTCTGGTACTCCTTATCCATTCAGAGCAGAGTCAGAATACCCTGCTGGTGATATCTCTTCAGTATGCTGTCTTTTCCAGCTCCTTGTTCCTTGTGGTCTTACCTAGGTCGTGCACATATATGTCTAAGTGTCCCTCTCTTCTACCATGCCCATAGCGGTGAGCAAATGGGATGCCATGACACCTGTAAGGCTGAGGTCTATGTCCTAGCCCTGACCTATCGGGTGTAACCAACCCCCTGCAATCCTTACGCCATCTCCCTCCTCTTCCTCTGAAGTCCACTTGTTCTCCACACAGTTTTGTTTCTGAAGAATGCCTGGCTCCTTCCTGGCCCTGCATCCTTCCGGTTTGCCCATTGTTTGCCTGTCTGTCACAAGCTCAATTCCTACCATGGTATTCCTAGTAATCTGTTCGGTAGCACTAGAAAACAATCCATGTAATTGATACCCATCATAGAACCTTCTCGTATCTGACCTGGGCCTTCCAGGTCAGATGTCCATCTGAACATGCTTCTTGGCACATATACTATCTTATGTGACAGACATGGGACTCTCTAATATTTGTTAAACGAAGGAGAGAAACCATGTATTCTTTTTGTACATGAGCTTCTTGTAAGATATGCAGAACTCAAAAAAAAAAAAGATATGCAGAGCTCAGAACCCTATCAACTAACCAGTTACTGGCCTAGACTAAAGGATGAAAAATGGAAATGAGATACACATCCTCGACCCTATCCATCCTTTCCTGAGAACCCAGATAAGCCAAGCAACCAAGTTGATAATACTCTTCTCATCAACAAGGCAGTAGAGCTTGCCCATCTACATGGGCAAGCAGCTATAGGTTTCAGGACATTTAAGGCCTAATCAGTTCCTAGACTTAACATAGAATGCAGCTAGGACATGCTTTCTACATGCAAAGCAACCCATCTCGAGGCCCTCTCCTGACCATAATTCGAGTATTCAGTCATGCCTCTAGGGAGTGACACCAATGAAGGAGTCACAGTCCAGTACCTCACAGCCTTGCAGAAACTACTCAACCTAACTAGGAGCCTTCCACCTGCCTCACTCCTTCGTTCCTCAGAAACTTTGATAAAAGCTTTTGTTTGCACCTCACTCCCCCTTCCTGACCACCCCTGGTGTGGCCCTGTGTATCCCCAGGAAGCCTGGTATAGCCTCTTCTTCTGGGGGCTGAGTTACATGCAAGCCATTATCCCCACATTCTGACCTTTGTGCCTGTTGACTAGGACATACCTCAAATGCTCTGGAAATAAGCCAATATCTGCTAAATGGAAGCTAAAACACAGCTAAAACTTCACACACTAGGTAATTCCGTCTTCGCCCAGGAAATTATGGTAGTGTCCGTTCAATGACAACTTTCAAGTCTGGCTTCAAGCCTCCGGCAGTAACAGTGAAATTTGTTTGCCAATAGGGTCTCCTGCAGCCCAGCCAGACCTCAAAGTTACTATGTAGCCAAGGCTCCCCTGGAGCTCTCTATCCTCCTTTTTCTACCTCCAGACTGTGGGAGTTACAGGTGTGTGTCACCATGGTTGGTGCTCAAATGAGACTCCTGAAAAAAATATACTACACTTAAAATCATTTATTTTGCAGTGGAAGAACTGATTTGGGTGAAAGGTGACCTGAGCTCCAAGTTTCCACCTGGAACAGCAACCTGAGTACCATATATTAAAGCATCAAACGTAAAGGGAGCTCATAACCCCAGGCATTCTGCACGCTCATCCTTAGGACTGCTCAGGGTCAGCCTCCTAAAATCCCTGACCCACGCATGATTCTGTCTAGATATTTTCCAGAGCCAAGGAAATTTTATTTATATCACACATGAGGGATTCCTAGGGCATCCCTGAGCACTGGCTGGAAGCTGCCAGTAAAGCTTCCATACCTGGCCACATGTGACAGCTTGCAGTGGAAACAGAGATGTACCAAAATATCAAATAACTTTGTCTTCAGGGTGTGTGTGATAGATGACAGGAGACAAATGAGTTTCGTGTTTAGACATGCCTCAGCTCCAGGAAAGCTCATGATATGTTCACAGATATTCCATAATCCAAAATATTGGAAATCCAAAACACTTCTAAGCATTTTGGACACTAACAAAGAAAGTGAGGGTTAGCACAGTCCGGCTGGTGTCGGCATTGGTTCAGGAGACAGAAGGAAGTATGAGGCACATTCATTCATTCTGTGACTTTCATCAGCCAAGGCTAACACAGGGCCAGGGAGACCACTGCAAACAGAAGCCAACACAACTCTAAGTGAAAAACTAATCTAACAGACACCAACCACAGATGCAAACTCAAGGAAAGAGGAATGGGGGGGGATCTTCCTTAATTACCGCTCCAATTGCTGTGATAAGGTACTCTGACAAATGCAGCTTAGGGGAGAAGAGGCTTGTTTTGGCTCTAAGTTAAAGGGCATAGTGCATCACTGTGGGAAAATCAACATCAGAATCTTGAAGTAACTGGTCACATGGCATCCACAGTCAGGAACAGATAGCCATGAATGCTGCTGCTGCAGCACTCATAGCCCATGATCTCACCTAGGGAATAGTGCCTCCCATGGTGGACAGGTCTTCTAGCACAGTTAAGATAATCCCCACAAGTATGTCTAAGTCCATCTCCCACATCATTTTAGATGTTAAGTTGACAATTAATACTAAGTAATACCATCCTAGATTGCAAAACATCCATAATAAAACCAACACAGCACCGTCAGTTAAATCCTTGCCTTGCACAACACAAGGTCCTGAGTTCAAATCCAGAAACTTTTTTTCTTTTTCAGATAAAATCCAGGTGTGGTGGTGCATGCTTATAATCCCAGTGCTGGGGAGGCAGAGACAGGCAAACCCCCAGGGCTTGATGGTCAGCAAGCCTAGCCTGCTTGATAAGCTCCAGACCAGTGAAGGACCCTTATCACAGTGAGAGAGACTGTGTGTGTGTTTCTAAGGAACAATACCTAAGGTACACTACCCTCAATGTGAAGCCCTCCTCAAAGTATACATGCATATACATACATAAAGTGTTATACACACACGCACACACACACACTTCTAGACATAGCTTCTGCTCTTTGGCACCATGGAAGGAGGTAGGGGTGAAAAAGAAAGACTAGAAAGCTGTCTATACCAATCACCGGTGAGTACGAGCACATTCATAATGCCTGGTGTTATCAGTTAAGAAAGTATCAGAGTAGCTTTATCTAGCAGGCATTCTCTGACACCTCGTTACAGTGGAAACAACTTCCAAGGGTCTTTCTAGGTCCGTGGCGACCTCAGGACTTATGGTGCATAGCTTGCTGTGGACCATCAATACGAAGGTAAAGATAATCTATGAATAACGCTGAATCAGAAAAAGGAGTTCACGGAGGGAGGGTAACATCCCTCAGAAGTAGGATCTCAAAGCATGGTCCTGACATCCTGCTGACTGCCTGCCCCAGGAAGGGCCCCCATCTTGGCTGGGGAGCAAAGGGAGGGTGATGCTTCAGGCAAGAGCTAAAGAGTAAAAAGGCAATCACAGCAGAAATAAGCACCAAGGCTTGCTCAGTTAACGTGCAGACACATGAGTAGCCTCAGCAAGTAACTGCCCTGGGGGTGGGATCCTGGGTGCCAGGACACAGATTCTAAGCTGCCTGGGCTCTGCAGACGGTACTTACTGAGCGCTTGTCCGCCTCTGCTCCCTGTTGACCCTGCAGACACGCCGTGAGCTTCTTGTGTGTGCTGTGGGACACCTGTTTCACCAGCTCTAGGCGCTTTTCCACCTGCACAGACAGTGGGAGGCTCAGTAAAACAGACATCAGGAGGTGACAATGCTGGCCTGTTACCATAGAGGCAAGGGTTTCTGGGAAGAAAATGCCCAGTGTTGAACAGCTGGAAGGACGGTGACCACAGCCCCGGGGCTCCCCTGGCACTCTTTGAATCTTTCCTCCAAGAATCTTACCTATGTCTGTATCTTAGGGAGATTAGTGCCTGGGAACCCTCAAAAGCCAAGCCCTACACATGCTTAAATACACATATTTACATATGACCCACATACATCCCCTAGTGTACCTAAAATTGCCTCTGGGTTACTCACTGTGCTTCATACAATGTAAACCTTGTGACAACAGCTATAACACTGCATTTTTAAGGGAATGGTAGAGAGGGAAGTCTACACATGGTCAGTTCAGAAGCATTTCATCATGCGGTTGGTTGACATGGACATGGGCTTATATGTCTGACAGGGCAACAATGGAAAGCACTGCCAGAAACAACAGAGTTTTACCCCCTAGTAGTCTGTATGAGAGCAGCAGAGGCATGGACACTGCACAGAGAATGGCTCCATTTCAGAGGAAACCATCTGTGAGGTTTAGCAGGCAAGGTTAAGACAACCCACCTGGAGAAGGTCTTCGCTCAGAACTTCAGTCTTTTCTGCCCTAGAGGGAAAGTGGAGAAAATGGTCAGCAAATACATGCATACATTTATACATACACACATCATATATACATATGTTAATATATTCAGGCATATGTACATGTGCATGTTTATATATACACACACATAGAGAGATATATTATTAATACATAAAAGCACATACAGATATGCATACATTTATAATACATATATATACATGTTACTATATATAGGAATATGTTCATATACATTTATAATATATACATACCTATGTTAATATATAGGCATACATACTTGTGCACATTTATAATACTCACATATATACATATATTAATGTACATAGGCATATATACAAATGCATATGTTTATAATACATACATACATACACACACACACACCACTCACACTAGGTAAGTCTAATGACAAGCCCCACTCTCCTCTCACAGCAACTCCAAAGAAGCAGACTATGAGTAGTAGAAATGCTTAAGAATTTAAAGACAATTCTAGAATCTTCCAGAAACACTAACTAACTACTATACCAGCAAAGCACAATGTGCAAGGTGCATTTATGAGTCCTGACACAAACTGCAGGAACCTGCATCAATGACAACGAAAGGACCTTTATATTTTCCTGAAGAAGACTGCCACACCCATGTACTCAGGCTCGCTCCATGAGAGCAAACCAAGATAGCCAGATGGAAAGGTGCAATAAACAAAGAGCATACACAAAGCCAGTGCTGAATCCCAGCAATGGATGCAGAGATGCTCGCCATGGCTTGGCCATCAACTGTTAGGTTCCTAATTGCAGATGACAAAATCAATTCAGAAAACTGCAAGAAAATGAGAAACTTCCCCCTCAAAAAAAAAAAAAATCACCAAGTCAGGCACAGTGGCACTTGCCTTTAATCCTAGCTCTCAGGAGGCAGAGGCAAGTGGATCTCTGAGTTTGAGGCCAGTCTGATGTACATAGAGTTCTAGGTCAGCCAAGGCTACAACAGCGAGGCCCTGTCCAAAACAAAAATAAAAAGCAAACACAAACAAACAATAAAAAACCCCTCACTGAATGAACTAAGACAAATATATAAACATTAGACTGAATGAACTAAGACAAATATATAAACATAAATTGTTTCTACATCCTAGTAACAGACCCTTGGAAGTACTCTTAACAAGGGTTTCAAATAATTAAGTTCTTAGATGTCAGTCTATCAGATTATATAAAAAGCTTGCAAGCTAGGTGTGGTGCTTTGAAGGAGACTGTCCCCCTTGAGCTCAGATGTTTGCACATTTGGTCTCCATTGGTGGCAATGTTTGGGTAGGTTTAGGAGGTGCCCTTGCACAAGAAAGTGTGTCCCTGGAGGTGGGCTTTCAGAGTTTACAGACTTGTGACATTTTGCTCTCTATGCTTCATGCTTGCAGTTCAAACTATGAGCCCTCAGCTTCCTTCTCCTGCTACCCTGTCTCCATCCCACCATCATGGACTCTAACCCCCTGAGTCCATAAGCACAAATGAAATTTTCTCTAAGTTGGCTTGGTCATAGTGTTTTACCACAATAACAGAAATGTACCTACAACACTAGGAAACTACAGAGTGTTTATGAAAGAACTCACAGAATATCTAAGCTAAGTGGGGGAGACATAGGCTGTCTATGAACTAGAAAAGCCAACAGAGAGAAGAAGGTACTTACTCTTCCCTGAACTGACTACAGATGGAATGAGAGCTCAGAGCTTAAGACCACAGGACTTACTATAGAGATTAAACAAAGCAACATCAACATGGACAGAAACATGCAGAAGAAGGAGAGTAGCCAACACATCTCCAGAAAGAAAAATTAAGTAATAGCACTCACATGATCCCAATTTTAAAATTAAATAATCAAGAGGATGGCTTTGACAAAAGGATAGGATGTGCCAGCCAGGAATAGATCCAGACTCATGACCAAGGAATCTTGAAAAAGGAACAAAAATTATAAGAGGCAGAAGAAAAAAATTAGCAAACTGTCATGGAACACACCATGCGAGATGTGAATCCTGGTCCTGTACATCTATACAAATTAATCGCAAATAGACCACAGCCTTCAAGAGAACATAAAAATGTGGCATCTTTAAATACAGGGAGAAATATCTGTGACCTTCATTAGAGCCCTGGGTTCTAAGTGATAACATCAAAAGCACTCTGTATAAAAGGAAAGGAATTGAGACATCAGACTCCTAGCAAAATGAAAAGCCTTTGCTCTATGAAAAGTCCTCTTAAAAGATAAAAGATTTCTCCCTAGGGAGAAAATGTTGGACATCACATGAGAAAAGAATGATATGGAAACTACATACAGAATTGTCAAAGTCAGTAATAGAAAAAAAAATCTACTAAAATAAGTACAAAAAACTGGGGCTAGAAGTTGAATGGTACAGCGTTTGCCTGGCACGCAACCCTGGCTTCTATCCCTCGTAATGAAAAAAGAGACAAATGATGAGCAGAAGAATAGCACCAAGGAAGATACACAGAAAGTACATGCACACACAAGGACGAGCGCACACACATCAAGCTCTAAAGAATCCAGCACTGGAAAGCTCATGAGTTGCTGGGGTCTGAGCATAGCAGTACAAGCCAGTGAAGAACAACTGGCAGTTCCTTAAAAACTTGAACATACACTTGCCATATGACCTAGCAATGCTACATCAGATCAATGAGCGCCACACACCCTACACACCAAAGCACACGTACAAGTGCTCCAAACCTGGGAACAATCTTTATGTCCTTCAGCAGGTGCATAGGTTCTAAGACATCTATATTGAAGAACACTAACCAGACCTAGGGGTGGATAGTGACATACACCATCACTCAGCTCAAGATCAAAGCATATGCTGGATGCACAAAAAAACAAAACAAACAAACAAAAAAACCAATCACAAATGATTATACAGACAGTAACTCTACCTATAGAGCATGCTGGGAAAAACTCAACTATAAGACTAGAAAGCCTATGGCATGGCAACATGGGAAAGGTTGGTTGTTTTGTTGTGTTTTGTTTTTTGGGTTGGTTTTTTTTTTTTTGACACAGAGTTCCTTTGTAGCCCTGGTTGGCATAAAGCTTGCTTATATAGACCAGGTTGGTCTCAAACTCACCAAGATCCACCAGCTTCTGCCTCAATGCCCAGTTATGAGGGAATTTTGATGACAGTGGTAACTGCACAGAATGCATATACATTAAGACTCACATACTGCCAAGGCAGCATACTTAAAGTGAGTCTTCAAAGTACAGCAGAAATCTCTTTAACCATAAAACTGTGGTACTATACAATGTCCCAGAAGTCCAGAAGAGAAAGTAACTGGCTAAATGCTCTGAGCTCCTGGCATCTTCCTTCAACAAGGCTGAAGTGATCATCTTGATTCTCTCAATTAAGTGGAAACACGATGAACATTCAAGCGCATCCCTGGTAGGGGAGAAGTGAGCTATGAATCTACCAAACTATCATAGGCTTAAAAAAAAAAAACCAAATCAACAACCAAAAAACCAAAAACAACAATAACAACAAGACAACAGAGAAGCTTAACCACAGAAACAAAGGGAAACAACAGTGGTCAGTGAAGAAAAAATAGAAAAGAAAAAGCCAAAAGGTAGATATTATACATGACATCCAATATATCAAAAACATACTCAGATAATACATCGCAGTTAAAAATCCAAAGATTTAAAAAAAAGAAATCTAGTTCAAAGACAGCCTGGATAGTTCAATACTAATTTAAAAAGCTCCATCTAATAGGAGGAAGAAACTTGAAGAGAAAAAGAGAGAGAAGGAAAAAAAAAACACTCACACAAAGCTATTTCTGAAATACCAAGCTTTGCAGGAACACGGCAGGCTAATCCCTGTTTGCTGATTATCTGTAGAGCTACTCATGGAGGTTGAGGTTTCATCCATGCTAGACAAGCATATGCTTTCTGAGCTGCAGCTCAGCTACTTTTAATTAATTATATTGATTTTAGGAGAGACAGTTGCAATATACTGATAAAAAATAGCTTATTCATTTCTAAAGATCACAAAATAAGTCAAGGCTGACAAAATGTTGGGGAGGTAGGAAACATGCTGGGATAATAAAAGTCGTCACTGTTCTTCTTAAAACTGTTGAACAAGACGATGTAGGGCTGGAGAGATGGATCAGAGGTGAAGAGTGCTGACTGCTCTTCCAGAGGTTCTGAGTTCAATTCCCAGCAACCATCTGTAATGGGATCCAATGCCCTTTCGGTGTTTCTAAAGACGACAACAACAGGATAATCACATACATACAATAAATAAATCTTTTTTTAAAAAAATAGGATGCATCAGATAGGGATACATAAACTGGAGATCTAGGGATGAAGAGTATGAACTCGTCTCATGAACACAAGAATGTGTTTCCAGACACCACAGATGATGAGCATATGAAGTACTTCTCAACAAATGTGAAAGGACAGGCAGTATTCTCTACTTCAACATACTTTATGTTGCAATAAAAAGCAAGGTAAAATGTGAAAGAAAATACATTTGTTTGGGCTATAGCTCATTTGGTAGAGTGTTTGCCTAGCATGCACAAAGACCTGGGTTCAGTCCTTGGTACCGGGAGTAGTGGTGCACATCTGTAATCCCAACATTGAGGGAATGGAAGCAGGAAGATTATAAATTGAAGATTTACACTGCACATTTGGAAACACTTCTAGATAGCATATAGATTTAAAATAATTTGTGTTTAAAAATTTTTTAATATTCATAATTAGAAACAAAATACATCAATCTTATCAGCAAAGTAAACTATACACCCTCTGTTGCTTATTTTATAAGAGATGCAATAATAATTGAAAAGTATAAACAGAATAGACAACAATAAAGAAGAAAGAAAATACAGACACTAAATTAAATTGGAAAAACTCTTTGAAGAGAGACTAACAAACATTATCTTTACAAGATTCACTTGGGAAACAAAAGTGGGAGAAGGAAGAGACGAGCAATGTAGAACACAGGTGTTGCAGAGCTTAAAACATCAATGAGG